TTTGGAGAGACTTCCCAAGTATATGGTGGAGCCTATTGCAAAGCAGCCTCTACTCCTGACCTTGGTTGAACTTCAAGTCCTTCAAGTCAGGGACCCTCTCCTTATTCCTCTAGTCAGTTTGGGATCCAAAGTATCTACCTTTCAAAGTCGCTGTGAGGATTAGAGATGATGTATGTAAAGCTCCTAGCACTGAGCCTGGCCCACAGTAGGTCCGAAGTACATGGGAGCTGTAGTGTTTCTGAGTTCAGCACCGAGCAGCCGCCCTCAGCGGTAGAAGGTGAGGGACCACAGTTAGAGTCAGCATCAGTGTCTCCTGAGGTCAAATTGGAGTTACAGTCTACAGTGAGAGCCAGATTGGTGCTCTGTGGTCAAATCTAGAGAGATCCAGAGAGAGAGCATCAAACAAGATAGACTCTGAAAACGGGCACAGCCACACACCAGAATCTTCATGTGTCTGAGGCTGGAAAGGGTTGCTGGTAACGTGGTTCATTCACCTGAACTCCTGCAGGTGCACATAGACAGGGCCAAGGGCAGCCAAGATGAGTCTAGAGGTCTTGAGGGCAGCTCAGAACACCGGCAGCCCGTTACCCACTGAGCTGCCCTTCTGCACACTCCAAGCCTTGTGGAAGCCAGAACCAGTCCCAGGGTGAGCCTTGAAGGACCCTAAATGTTTACCTGCTTCAAAGCATCCCTACCACTCCTTCTGTGGTCAAATTGCATTTAGCCACTCATTGTGCTAAATGGAAGATGTCACAACATGCTGAATTCATCACACATTGAACTGCAAATCTCCTCATGCCTAAAATATATCTATTACTGCCCCTCACTGCCTATATGTAAAGTCCTTAGTCTTCAGTTTGGTAAAAGACACCCATGATCCGCCTGCTCTCCAGCTGTCTCTCTCCTCTCTCCCCACCTCGAACCCTTAATGCTCTATTCACACGTGACTACACTTAACACCAAGTGCTCTCTATGTCGTTCTTGCACTTCCTGTTCCCTCTGCCTGAAGTGCACTTCCCTACCTTGTAGACTCCAAAACACCTCCTCTCTCAAGATTCAGCCTAGCTCATCTTTGTCTACCTTTCCCTAAGCACCCTCCAGGCGGGAATGACCAGTCTCTTTTGGTCCCCCTCATTCCCACACATACTTCTATTATACCACCTAGAATACTTTATAACACTGGGTTCACTTTCCATGTCTGTATCGTCTCCCCTAGACTCTAAAGCCCTAAGGGCTGAGGCTGCATGTGGTCTTTGTGTCTGGCCCAGAGGCGCTGATTCATGTTTGTAGAGTGGATGCATGGGTGGATGGATAAGGACCAGTGCGCATCTGGCCTCTGGTAATACAGGGATGAAAGCTCTTTCCCTGCCCTCAGGGAGCCCCCTGTAGGTGACAGAAAGAGAGTAAAAAAGAACAATGAAATGGCATGAGTCAGAGTACAGCATGTTGTGTGAGCTCAGCTGAGGGGCACCCAACCCAGGGGGGAAAAGAGATCTGTGTTCAGTGGTACTACCTAGAGGAGTCAAGCCATGATCTGGGTCGTGTTGGACCAGCAGGAGTCCGCCACACAGAAATGGGGGCCGGGGCACCATGGACAGAGAGGGGAGCAGGTGCAAAGGCTCAGACTCGAGATAGCTGTGGCATAAAGGAGAAATGTGGGGCAAAGGCAGTGACATGGCTAAGGCAGGGAGGACCAATCACACAGGGCCATATTCCCACTAGGGAATCTGGAGTTTATCCTGGAGAAAAATGGAAGTTTCCTAAGAAAAAGAGAGAACGTGACAGGATGTACATACACAAAGATCATCCCAGCAGCCGTGTCAGGCCAGGCAATGAGGTCAAGGTGGAGATTCTAACAAGATCTAGCAAAGAACTGATGAGGGCTGGCCCAAGGCAGGGGCCGTCAGACTGGGGAGCTACTTAGGAGGCAAAATTGTTAGAGTTTGGTCACTCTGCATAAATAAAAAGCAGGGAGCAGGGGAAGAAGCAGCAGTCAAGATGCCTCCCAGGTTCCTGCCCTGGCTGATGGATAGATGACAGTACTCCCGGGAGGATAAGCAGGGAGGGAAGAGACAGGAGGTTGCCTTCCATTTTGGTCACGCAGAGGCTGAGACGCCTGAGGAACCCCAAGCGGGTCTTCTCAGTAGGCAATGAACTATCAATTCCTGAGGCTTAGGAAAGAGTCCTGGATGAGAAAAATAAATGTGGAGGTCATCAACAAAAAGATGATAGCCACCTTTCTGGAGCCACGTGTGCAGACAAAATCTTTCAAGGAGGGTGTACACAGAGTGAGAAGAGGACCAAGCCCCAGGATATACCCCACGTGCGGGCAAAACTGAGGAAGAGGCTGAGACAGAATACCCAGAGACACAGGAAGGAGAAAGAGATCAAGCTGCAGAGGACACTGGGAACAAGAGAGCTGGGGGGAGGAGGGGAAATGGAGAGACAGTGATCTACGGGGTCAAATCCTGCAAAGCGGGCAAGTAAGCAACAGAGCCTGAAAAATGCTCATTTGTGGCCAGATTGTCCCAGCCCTCAACAGCCTGCGGTACAAATGAGATCGCATTAATAGTAACAGCCCGTATTTCACATGGATCACTAGCTTGTTGCCAACTATCTGCAGAGCAGGACCTCCGCTGCCTTGAAAAAAGTCCTTGCTTCCCAGTATTTCTGGGAGTGCCTGGGGGTGCACAAGCCCAAGAAGAGTCCTCACGTCTCTTCCACACACACCCCCTCTTGACGTCCACAGCACTCCAGGACGGCAGCCCCCATGGTGGCTGCCCACCCTGAAATCCCCCCGAGATCCATGGGTTCCATCTCCTGACGTGCCAAAGCTATAAACCTTCATGATGTTAACGCAACAGGGTATTCTATGCTTTGAATTCTCCACTGAAGAGAAGCCACGGCATTTTCTGAAAAGTGGAGAAGACTCCCCCTCTTTGCCATCTGTTTTTGTTCCAAGTCTCATGAAAAGGCCTTCTTCAGCTGTGTCCCGTGGCCATCTGTCCTAAGGCTTCAGACACCAGTCCCTGGGCCTCAGCGGTAGGGCAGACAACAGAAGCCCTTTCCTCCTGCGCCCTGATCTCTGCCCGAGGTACCCAACCCTCCAGGGACCCTATGCAAACAGATCCTTTGGGAGTTTCACTCCACCAGTTTATCAGAAACTCCACACCCACACTTCTGGGTTAGTCTCAGGCAGGACACCTGGCTGCAACGTGATTTAGCAACGTGGTGGTCATGATTGACGTTGGCCGAAGGAGTTTCAGCAGAACGGTTGAGAAGGAGGTCAGACTGCACTGAGGTGAGGAGAGGATGGGAGGTGGGTCAAGTTCAGATGGCAAACATAACAGCAAGTCCTATGAGACTTGGCTTTTCGGGAAGGGCAGGAAAGCAGGGTCAAGGAGATGGAAGGTGGTGGTGGTGGTTTGTAACAAGGCAGAGACTTGACCAGAGTCACATGCTGAGGAAAAAGAGCCAGCAGAGCGGGAGAGGCTACGCCCAGACGCTGAGAAGAAAGCGGTTCAGAGGGAAGTGCCCGGCGCGAGGCGTGCTGCGGACCCTTGCGCGGGAGAGAAGAAGGCGGCCCTGAGGAGGCCCCGGGCTTCAGCGAGGGGCCCGGCCACAGGAGTCCGAGCGAAAGGACGAAACGAAGAGAGACGACAAGGACTCTGCCAGGAGCTTATTCGGGAGAAAATGAAGCTGCAAGTCCCAAGACTGAGTGGACCCGTCACCTCAGGCCTCCCGCCCCAGCACATTCTTTCTGGTGCCAGAGATCTCGTATCTCAGTGCCTCTCTGTGACTCAGAATCTGGGATTCTTGCTTTGCCATTTAATTTTAGTAATAATTAGAGCTGCTTCCAGGAGTCAATTTTCCTCCCTTCTCTCAATCATGCTATGCTTGGGATTCTGACGTGGCAATCAGTGAAGGTGTGCAGCTCCAGCTTGGGCCCTAGTTTCAGTGGAAAACCTCCTGGGGAAAAGGACAGTTCCCTTTTCAAGGAGGTGGTTTTCCTTGTTTCCTTGCTTTGTTTATATAACTTACCGCACGTGGAGGGGTCAGAACTGGCCCTAGAATAAAAGACTTCTCTTGCCCCACTCGGGAGCGTGGGCACCACAGGGAAGAGCAGCAGGTCCTAAGCGTCTTACCACACTCAGGTGAATGTGAGAAGTGGGTTATTACACCCCTTAGACTCACAACAGTGAAAACCAAGGGTCACACACAGAGGGTCAAACAGAGAAAAAGACCTTCATTGGACCTGCAGTTTGAAATGTGGGTTTGTGTTGGAATTCACTTCCATGCTAAAGTGCAGTTCAAGGGTCACAAACTCAAATGCTTAGGGACGCACAGCAGGTGTCTGGAAGGCGTGAGCCAGTCCGGCGGGGGGTGGGGGCGGGCAGTGGCATACCTGAGCCGCTGTCTGCCCTACCCAAAGAACAACTCCTCAGCCCCAGCTGCTGCCACAAATGAAGACGACCTGACTTTTCAGAGAGAGGTCGCGGGTCCAGATTCTTTTGTGAAATCTCCAGATGTTTAAAAGTGGGGAACTAATTCCACTAAACAGTGACCACGACAGACAGCGCAGGCCAAGCAAGACGGGGCACAGAGTCACCATCTGAATTTCACTCCTTCTAAAGAGATTTCAGCGCATTCTGTTTCTTGAATGATTCTGTTTGCATGTGTTTTTAGAAACTGTGTCTGAGACAACAAAGGTTTGACTCTGCCTTCTCCGCCCCCTCCCTGGGGCTGGGCTGCACACTTTCTGCTTCCCCGGAGAGTGACAAGGCTCTGTTCCCTTCCCAAGAGCAGGCGCTCCTGAAAGGGCTGAGGACAATGACACCCTGGACGTAGCTACTGATGATGACATACCAGCGGGCGTTCCTCCGAAGCTCTAGCTGCTGAATCACTCCAGACTGAAACGACTTCGGGACTGGCCCTTTAAAAATCGAGCGCGCTACCGGGCAAACTCCTCCTCCAGGGAGGTTCCTTTAAATAAGAGCCAGCTGGCCAGGGCCCCGCTTTTCTCCCAAGCAATACCTGCAATCGAGGTTTCCTCCCCAGGAGATAGCAGCCTGTGAGCATGGCTCAAGCATTTGTGAACAGCAAAATCCAGCCTGGGAAGGTAGTTGTGTTCATCAAGCCCACCTGCCCCTACAGCAGTAGGGCCCAGGAGCTCCTCAGCCACTTGCCCTTCAAACAAGGGCTTTTGGAATTTGTCGATGTCACAGCCCGCAGTGACACCAACGAGATTCAAGATTATTTGCAACAGCTCACCGGAGCCAGAACGGTGAGCCTGGGGTTTCCTTCTAAAAGGCTGGGGAGGAGGCTCCCAGATTCCTTTTTCTTGTCGGGGCTGTGAACGTGGTACGCCTGTGCCTTTCTCTAGGACACCGCTAAGGTTCTGTCTGTCACTCCAGGCGGCTGGAGGGCTGTGCAGGTGGGGGAGGGCGCCTGAGAGAGGACACTGCTTCCTTGAATGGACGGCTGGACTTCGGCCAACGGTGCTCAGATCAGAGGAGGGAGCACAGCTGACTGTGTTGGGCGTCAGGGGCAGCGGGCCCAGCAGCCCCCCAGGAGTCACTGAGGAACTATCTGGACTCTTTGTTTGAAGCACTGACAGTCTGCGCTTGCAGGGCTGGGGTGGAAGGAGGCATGCAGGGGCCATGTGTGATCGGTGCGTTTCTGTTGTTGCACAAGAATCGCGTGCACTCTGTGTGCACAGGGCCAAGTGGGATTTGCTGTCCTTCCATCTTTTCTCTAGGCTCTCTTTAACCTTCATCTAAATCGCTCATTCTTCCCTATCTTATCTAACTCCTCCCTCTGGAAAAATCTAACGGCTCATTAGTGCTTCTTAATCTAAATTATGGGATGTTTCCAGGCCTGTTAGGGAGTCCAGAGGATGGCTCTCACAATGGTTTGCTGTGTGATCCTGGTAAGTCACCAGCTCTGTGACTCTCAGGGACCTCCTGGCTGCAGCACCAGGCTGGAGGAGGTGACCGCTACATCCCTTCTTGCTATAAGTAGACAGTGGGACCCTATGAACCGCTGTCCTTTACGTGAACAGCCTTCCTCTTCCTCAGCACCCACGGCTTCCCAGTGAGAGAGCCAGCCGACCAGATCCCCAGCATCAGTTCAGGTGTTAAGTCCTGTCCCACCAGGTCACCCAAACTCCCTTTCAGGGCGCACATTCTAGGACACGGTGCTTGCAGAAGCACATATCCTAGCTCAGGTTTAGTTTGACTTACTGTGTTCTTTCTGGCTTCTCAGTGTAAAGCCTGGGAGGCTGTTCTGTTCTTCCCACCTCTCCAGTCAGAAATCAGCCTTCTGGTGCAGAAAGAGGCAAAACACGCTACCCCCATTGCTTCCAGGGCCCCTGCTGTGAGCTGAGGACCCTCGTCTCTGGAAGGAGGGAAAGGGCAGTGTAAGGACGCCTGTGGACCCCGCTGTGAGGCGTCCCTCTGGGCCAGTGGCTCCCAAATGTTGCTGCTCATTAGAATCACCTGAAGCGCTTTAAAAAAAAAATTCCCAATGCCCAAGTCACACCGCATGCCAATTAAATCACACTATGGGAGGCGGCAGCTAGGCATCAGTAGTTTTAAAGATCCCTAGGACATGGATACACACATTGAGTTATAAGATGAATAAGTTCTGGGGATGTAACGTCCAGCATGGTGACTATAGTTAGTAATACTGTATCGTATGCTTGCAGTTTGCTACGAGATTAGATCTCAAGTGTTCTCACCACACACACGTGCAAATGGTAGCTGTGAGGTTATGGGTATGTTAATTAACTTGATTGCGGTAATCATTTCTTAATGTAGTATATGTGTATCAGACCATGACATTGTGTACCTTAAATACACACATATTTATCTGCCGGTTATACCTCAAAAAATCTGGAAGTGAAAATAGAGTTTCTCTCCTGTCAAAAAAATCAAAAGGTAATTCTAATTTGCAACCAGGTTTGGGAGCTACACCTTTCAGCCCGGCAGCACCTATTCTCTAGCAGGAAAAACAAACCACTTCACGCATTCATTCAACACCTGTTTTTTCAATTCATTGGAAAGCAACACTTTTTCTTCTAGTGGTCTTTTAAGTTTGTTTTTGAATTTTTCAAAATACTTTTCACAGGTTCTTGAGTCCTGAATGACATTCCTCCAAGGGGAAAAACAAACCCTTTGAAGTTGTATACTTCATGATCCCGAACAGTGAAGGGTTTCTATTAGAAGAGACTGGAAACCTTGAGAGCTGTCGCTATCTTGCTTATCCTGGGATGCCTGTGTGCTGTGCAAATAGTAGGAGCCCAGCAAGACTTGACTGATTACAGAGACGTAGGCCTTCTATCAGGCCATGTACTGGAGAAACTGGTTCTGGTTTCGCCATAGCCACAGCTCCTAGATCAGTGCGTTCACTTATTCCTTTTCCTGATGTTCTTTCTTTATGTAAATCCAAGTTTCTGACCTCTATCATTTTCCTTTTCTCTGAAGAACGTCTTTGAATGTTCCTTACGAGGCAGATCTTTGGGCAACAAATTCCCTCAACTTTTGTTTGTTTGAGAAAGTCTTTTTCTCCTTTGGTTTTGAAGGATAATTTTGCTAGATACAACAAATATTTTTAAGCACCTACTACACTAGGCACTTTTCTGGACATTGGAAATACTGCCATGAACAGAACAAACAAAAATGACTGCCTTTGTGGAACTTACATTCTAGTAAATGCAATTAATAAAATAGTATGTTGGAAGGTGGTAAGTGATGTGTGCTATGGAGAAAAAAACAGACAGGAAAGGCAGGTGGGCTGTAGGCAGCAAGGTACGGTTTTAAATGGAGTCATCAGGGCCTCACTGATTTTAGTAGATCTCTAAAGGGAGTGAGGGAGCAAGGCATGCAGAAATGTAGCGGTAGGGCATTTCATGCAGTGGGAACAGCAAGTGCTAAGGTCCTGGGGTAGAAGTATGCCTGGCAAGGAGGCCTCCATGGGTGGAACATTATGAGTCAGGAGGAGATGAGGTCCGAGAGATCACGCGGTATAGGTTGGCGAGGCCTTTCAAGCTATCACACAGAGTGTGCTTGTGATGGGAGATGAGATGCCACTGAAGGGTTTTGAGCAGAGGAATAACCCTATCTGACTTGATTTTGAAAGGGTCGCTCCAGTGGCTGTGGGGAAAGAGACTACAGGAAGGCCAGGGTGAGGGTTGAAGCTGGGAGACCTCTGGAGGCTAGAGCAGTAATTCAGATGAGAAAAGATGGTGGCTTGTACCAGGGAGTAGCCAAGGAGGTGCTGCAGAGTGTTGGGAGCCTCTGAGTAACACCAGAGTGCAGGAGATGCCACCTAGCTGAAGCTGGGGCTGGAGAAAGCTCCGGGAGAGGAAGGGCCCCAGAATTCCCAAGCTTGCTTTTATGGTGGCAGTTCTCTGCTTCTTGGCAGTAACAGACTCAAGTTCCTCCGAAGAGGCGAATGGGCCAGGAGGGGAGGGCACAGAGGACGAGTCTCCCTTCCTCAGCTGCATCAACAGCTTCCTGTTTTGTCACCACAGCCTCCCACACTGTCCTGCTGCCAACTGATCACACTGACCACAGCCAACTGTTGCCTAGCCTAGAGGGTGGGTGTGAGGGCAACGGGGCCTTTCAGCTCTCAGGCAAGCCAGCTTGCGTGCCAGATGGTCTGCACAGAAGTCCGCCCTGATCATGTTTCAGGGCCTGCCTCAGGTGGCTGGGGGCTGCTGCAGAGCTGTGTGTTCCCAAAGCCTCAGTTACCGCAGGAGGAATGAACCACTGTCAGTGCCAACCAGCGGTTTGCAGATGTGACCGCTGAGAGTCAGCATCACCTGGGAACTTGTCAAAATGCAAATTCTTGAGCCCCAGCCCGGATCTCCTGTATCAGAAATGTGTGGGGAAGGAGTAGAAACCTATGTTTCAACAAGCCCTCTGCAGTTCTGATGCAGGGTTCAAGTATGAGAACAGCTATCTGAGGAGAAGACTCCTTACTCCTCAGGGCCTTCTCTCCAAATAACTGAACTCTAACCCCCTGGGCCAGCACCCTGGCCAAAGGTGGAGATGTGGCAAGTGGCAAGAGGAGTGACCATTGCTCAATTCTTTCTGAAAATAACAGCATTGACAGAAGTTCAAGAATGAATACATCTCGTCCTTATTGAAAGCTCAGATGAGTTTTACTCATTTAGGTAATGGCTTCAACAGAAGGAGCCCTGTATTAGAATTACATTAGGATTACATTAGGATTCTGTTTTATTTACCATTGCAACTGACCACAGCCAACTGTTCCTGGGGAGATAGAAGCCAGAAGGCCCCCAGCAATTTGAGAGGTGCTTTATTTTCCCTACAATGGCCAGATCCAGGGGGCAAGTTAGGTCTCTGACCTCATGTTTCTGCATATTCTTCCAGCTAGTAAAAAAGCAACGCTGCCTTGGTGGCGCTTCCACTTGCAAAGCCCCCACACAGGCGGGCAGTGCAGGCGGGACGGGCGTCACCTTGTGTGACTGAGGTGGACATTACCAGGCTTTCTCGCCAGAACACAGTCCTGTGTGCTCTTCCCCACTCTTGGGACATAGGAAATAGCCATGGCGATGGAGTGTAGGAGTCTTTCAATTGGGGGCCTTAATTTTTAAAGCCTGCTTCCACCCAGACCTCCTTCTTAATAAAAATAAGGTTAAGGACTTACCTGAAATAATCCTGCCCTTTTTCTCAACTCTCACACTTAAAAAAAAAAATGTCATCTGAACATGCACCCCAATGTTCATAGCAGCATTATTGACAGTTTCCAAGATATGGAAGTCATCTAAGTGTCCATCAACAGATGAATGGATAAAGAAGATGGGGTATATATATATATATATATATATATATATATATATATATATATGTAATGGAATATTAATTACTCAGCCATAAAAAAGAACGAAATAATGCCATTTGCAGCAACATGGATGGACCTAGAGGGTATTATGCTAAGTGAAATAAGTCAGACAGAGAAAGACACATACTGTATAATATCACTTATATGTGGAATCTGAAAAAATACAACAAATTAGTGAATATAACAAAAAAGAAGCAGACTCACAGATATAGAGAACAAATCAGTGGTTACCAGTGGAGAGAGGGAAGGGAAGAGGGGCAATACAGGGGTAGAAGATTAAGAGGTACAAACTATTATGTATAAAATAAGCGACAAGAATATGTTGTATAACACAGATAATATAGCCAATATTTTATAATAAGTGGAATATAATTTATAAAAATTTTGAATCACTGTGTTGTACACCTGAAACTTCTATTGTACATCAACTATACCTCAATTTAAAAATGCATCTGAATTACTATGCCTTCTGAGGAAAGTCAAAAGCTTTGAAAATATTCTTGCCGCCTTCTGTCTTTCACCTCTCCTGCCCCTTCTGGTATGTTCCTAGTGTTCTGGGAGAGGACCTGCTTGCTCCTGACCACTCAGGGTACCCGCATTGTGGTTGTTTCTTCACTGCCAGTCAGCCTTTCTGTGACATCCCTGGCCTGGAATTTGCCTGAGCCACGGTGAAAAGACTTCCTCCTCTCTCCTCCTTCCAAGAGCCATCTAGAAACCTGGAACACGCCTTACCTAGCAGCAGGGAGGGAGCCTGAGGTTGACTCAAGATGAACATGTTCAGCAGGTAGAATGACTGTGTCAGCCTGGCTGACCCTGGGCCACCCACCCATGCCAGGTGTGAAACCAAAGCAGATGCATGTCCTTGCTCCCAGGGCTGCAGCACTTAAACATCTTATGATGGGCCAGGTATTAGAGAAGGAGATTCAGACACCACCACCCCTTCCCCAGCTGAGGACAGAGCTCACAGATGAGAGAGATGACTCTAATAAACTGTGAGTCTAAAATCAGAGACAGAGAACTGATGCAAATACTTTTCCACCTGTACTTAGAGACAGACTCCTTCCTGGTTGCCATGGGTCAGTTTAAGGGCTCAGGTGTGGTCCCAGCTGTAGAGAAACCAGAATTCAATCAGGGCGGTCCAGCTGCGGCCAACCAAAACTCTTTCCCTGAAACATAGAGTAAAATTTTTAAATCCCTTTGACAAGTTAGACAATCTCACACACACAGAACATTCTATTTGAAAAGCATCTTGGCGTAAGAAGGTTCTTCAATGAATAATTTTATGTGTATAATAAAGTTCTGCCCTGAAAGAGTATACATGAGGAGGTTGTGAAGTGAGTTGAAAAGCTTTGGATCATGGGAAATATTTAGAGGAAGGATAAAATGTCTAATCTAATAATGATGTTCTCTAAATGTCCTGGCTTGTTTGCTTTTTTAGGTACCTCGGGTCTTCATCGGTCAAGAGTGCATAGGTGGATGCAATGATCTAGTAAATATGCATGAGAAAGGGGAGCTGCTGACAAGGCTAAAGCAAATTGGAGCTCTACAATAATTATAGGTGAGTGACAGGTGGGACGCTGGGCCAGGAACATTGGGAGATGGTGGAATTGTACCGCCACGTTTTATTACAATCTAGGAAGGCACTCTGGATAGGGAAAGAATGATCGGGGTGATTTGAGGAACTGTGATGTCATGTATGAGTTTCCCATTTTACAAATGGGTTAATTTCATCAATGGGAGGAAAGCTTTTCACTCAACCTTCATTTAACAAATATTTATTTAGCACTTACTATGTGCCAGACACTGTACGAGGCACTGGGAATACAGAGATGAACAAAAAGATAATATGGAACTTATATTCTAGAGAGGTAGACCGATCCAAAACAAGTAAATAATTCCTGAAACAAATGAATAATTTGATAGAACATGGCAGGGGGATGGGGAGCAAATTAAGCTAATGTAGTAAGGGAAGGCCTTTTTCAGAGGGGCTGGTTGAGCTGAGACCTGATTGACAACAGGGAGATGGCCATGTACAGATGAAGCAGAAGGGCTTTTCGGGCAGAAGGAATAATAGCAAGTACAAAGGCCCTGAGGTGACAAGTATGGAATATTCAAGGAACTGAAAGCAAGACAGATCAGACTGAGTGAAGCGCAGAAAGAAGGAAAAGTAGTAACAAATGTGGGCAAGGACCAGAGCACACAGGCCATGGGAAGCAACCTAGATTATTCTAAGTGCAATGTGAAATCAAGGTAAGTTTTGCTTTACCTGTGTTCACCCTGCAAATCCATTCAATCTAATTGGCTTCCCAAATGACAAAACAGAGTTTTCTAAAATTGTAACTTAAAGGAGATCTTTGACTGAATGGAAAACCACAGGGTGATGAATTCTTCAGAAAGGAAGCAAGATACCTTTGGGGTCTGATGGACTCTCCTCCCCGCAGCTCTTGTTAGTGCAAGCTAGCTTCTAAGCAGGCCAATTGCACTGACTCACACGTGGAAAGATTCTGTTTTAGCCAAAGGAGAAAGGGGTTCAAATTAAAATGTTCTTTGAAGAGTATTTATTGCCCACTAATTAATAAATAACCCTCGAGCAATGAGTACATATAATTTGTGGTGGTTACTCAGAATAGCAACAGGAAGTGACAAAACAAGGTCTGAAAAATGCAACTGAATCCCTTGAAATAAAATAGTCAATGTTATAAACTTTTAATCACAATTCTACAACATCATCCCCTCAAATAAACACTGTGTCTGTTTGGGTTAGCTTTCTGGCCTCACCCCATGCACAAAGCACTCAAAACCCAATTAACTGCTGTACCAAATGTTTCCTTTTCTGGAACACTCTTTAGCAATTTAGGCTTAGATGAGAATGAGAGAAAACTTACAACTTTCCTGGGAAGGTGGGAAACACCATTTCCCCAGCTACCTCTATGTTGGCATGGGCACTAGAGTCCGCCATATTCCCCAGGTCTCTTTATCTGCATTGTCCTTCAGTATATTATACTCTCAGTATTCTACTGGCAACTTGCATCTCAAGGCCATCTGTAACCGATTATGCTTAAACAGCAAGAGTAAATGTTCTGGTAATGAAAGGGAAATGAGAGGAATTGATCTTTTCCAAGAAAATCCAATTCTTTGTATTTTTTCCTAGCAGAGCAGACCCCAGGCTGATATCCCCCTTGAGAGCTGGATGGCATTGCAGATACTGACAGCACTTCCTGATGGATGGACCTGGGGCTACGTTTACCCAGCTACAGCAACTGTTTACTTAAAAGTTTGAAATATGTTAACGCAAATAAAGTGGGTGGGGGGCATTCTGGGGGCAAAAAACAGCTTTTTCTTCTTTTGACTCAGTATTAAAAAGGGACCAACTTGCCCAAAACAACAGGTCTGAGAAGTTCGATGGGTGTCTCAGGTTTCTTGTGGATTGGCCCTTTGGTTTCCAAAAAGACAAGATATGCTTAGGATTCACTCACTGACCCAAAAGATGTTCCTTCTCTTTGGCACATGTTCCTTACTACGTGTTCTCCACATGCCGGGGCTCCTCTACCTCAACACCAGTGTTTCTCAACCATGTATATCCCAGACCTCCTGGGTTGAATCTATAGTTGGTTTTCTGCTACTGTCCAAAGATTGTTTTGTTGAGTTTGACTTTATAGAATTTGTATTATGAAATCAATAGATATTCTGAATATGCTTTATCAAAGGGTATCTCCTTAGCCACCATCCCCACCCCACCTCCTACCCCCTCCTACTGTGAGAATCACTGCCGTGAACCAGTTTTCTGAACCGTGACAACTCATAGACCTCATAGGAAATATTCAACAATTCCGTGAAGGGTCTGAGCACGCAGTCTGAGAGACGCCACTGAAAAGTTAAGCACGGTTGGTCTTCATTTTGGGCCACAGGGATCAGAGGTATAAATGCAGATGCTACGATCACGTGGCAACACTCTGTTATGTAACAGGTTGTCCAGGGAATCCTGAACAAGTGTGTATTAATTTGTTTATAAGCAAAAGTAAAACATAAGGGCTTCCCTGGTGGCGCAGTGGTTGAGTCCGCCTGCCGATGCAGGGGACACGGGTTCGTGCCCCGGTCCGGGAAGATCCCACATGCCGCGGAGCGGCTAGGCCCGTGAGCCAAGACCACTGAGCCTGCGCGTCCGGAGCCTGTGCTCCTCAACGGGAGAGGCCACAACAGTGAGAGGCCCGCATACAGCAAAAAAAAAAAAAAAAAAAAAAAGTAAAACAAAAAATTTTAAATGTTACATAGACAACTTGTATACCCACCTCCAAGAATATGTCTGTGAAAGTAGCCAAATTTGGGAAACTCTGTTCTAAATGATTTTCTCTCTCTCCTTTCTTTCCCCCTCACTCTATGAAAACTTAAGAATTCCTTATTGTGAAAGTTATTCTAGACTTGCAAGCTTAAGTTAATTTCCCTCTGTAGTCTCTGGTATGAATGGTTAATTTCTTCTCTAATAAAGAAGTACCCGTGGATCACACGGTGATTTTTGTCCAATTCTTTTCTAGTTCTCAAGACCTTAAGGAATGTGATTATTGCAGAATATACCAATTTAAAGTGTTTTCATGTTCAACCCCTGCAGGCGCATGCTATTGTCCTTCACTGAGTAGAAACGGTTGGTGTAATTTTGTAAATTTCATAATTTGACTATGTCAACACTAGCCTATTGAATAATGTTTAGGATTCAGTAATAGTCTTTTTCATACCACATTCCATTTTCCTATTTCTCTCCTAATACTCTCGTAGTCTTGGCTTCCTCTCCCTTCCCTTATGCACCCTAACCACTCCCTTCAACCAGATGGCTGTGGATGATCGAGTAGGTTACACACCGCACAACACTATGAATGCCACCTCTGGAGGCTGTGCAGTGTGCAAACTGCACCGTCCCTGATCACCTCCCGACCACTTGCCTGCTCTTTCTTTCACATTTCTATGTCCTTGCTCATTGTGTTCCTTCCTCCTGAGATACCCTTTCTTATCCTTTGTTCTTCTTTCAAACCCTGCCTTCACGGCCTGATTTACAGACTCTCCCCTCTGGACCTACCCTCTCCTCTCACTGCCTCTTGACTAAAAAAAGTCATTGCTCCTTCTGTAATCTTAAAACATCAGGCTGTATTGTAGTTAATCATCTGTACTGGTCTCTCACCATATTCAGAAATACTCAAAGGCAGTAGCCTCGACGTAAAAACCTTCATATGCCCAGTTTCTAGCACAGAGGTTCTATTTTATCAAAGCAATACATGCATGTGGTTTAAAATGTCAAACAACACTACAACACTACTCAAACCCCAGTCCTGGCCACACATTTATCAGTTTCGTAGGTATTTAAGCTATTTAGAAATACTGTAAAATGTATTAGACATATATAAGAATATATAGAATGCATAGTTCTATTTAAATGAACACCCATGTAATCTGCTTCCAAAGTTAAGAAGTAAAGCACCCATATAACAGTGTGCTTCCAGAGTACTGATAAAGTACCTTAGAGGCCCAGGACTTCCCTGGCGGTCCAAGATCCCACATGCCGAAAGATTAAAAAAAAAAAACGTACTGTAGAGGCCCATGTGCCCCCTCCCAATGTATCCCCTTCCTCCCTTCACAGAGATGATCTCTAGTTCATTTTGTTGTAATCATTCTGATCCTTTATAGTTCTACTTCCTACAATATCCCTCAGCAATACATTTTAGTTTTGAAAAGCAATAGCAAACACCAACCTAGCTGTGTAAGGAAAGGGCAATATTCTCACCATCAGATGAAGGGCCCCAGGAGAAGATAAGCTGAACAGAGGCTCTGAGTCATAGATTAGCTTCTGTTTCCCTGGGAGTTTACCAGAGGGGTATTCCCAAATGAGTCTTTGGAAACACTAGGCAACCCATGGCTGGGGAGGTTATTGTATGAACAGGTACTGGGCCTCCCCCAGAAATATGTAATGGAAATGGGCTGCTCTGCATTTTCGGCTTCCATGGCCAGCCTCCAGCTTTCAGGAACAGGTCCAAGCACACCACATCCATAGCAGTGTGTCAAGCCCATACCACCTCAACTAGCCAAGGTTGTGTCATGGAGAACAGAAATGTCATCAACACAAGGCAAACTAAGTTCGGATAACAATCTGCTTCAGGCTCATTTAAGCATTCTCACCTCAAGTTAAAAAAAAAGAGAACAGTTGAGCTCTCAACATGGGGCATTTCACTGCTCCAATCTGGACTGTTTGCTGTCCACGTCAGAGCACAGCTCTCTTCCTGGGATCTCCCTTCACTGTCATACTGGGGATTCCATTGCTCTCTATCCTGAGTTAGATCTCCTGTTTCCCACACCCTATAAGTATTTGTTATAGCTGAAGTGCTGTAACAAAAACATAATGACAGTAGCTTATTTCTCTCATAAGAGTTCAGAAGCAAGCAGGTGGCTTTGCTCTCTGAAATCACAATCAACCCAGGGGTTGTGTGCACCTCTTCTGCTCATATCCCATTGCCCAGAAGTTAGCTGTGGGTGACACTAGGCAGTGGTGTCCCTGCTGGCAAGCCCCTTGCCCAGCTAAAACTCAGGGAGGTGTACATTGAAAGAAAATAGGAGTTTGGGATTAACAGATACACCCTACTATACATAAAATACATAAACAACAAGGACCTACTGTATAGCAGAGGGAACTATACTCAATATCTTGTAATAACCTATAATGGAAAAGAATCTGAAAAAGAACATATATATGTATATAAACGAATGATTTTGCTGTATACCTGAAACTAACACATTATAAATCAATTTCAATAAAAAGTTGTTTGTTTTGAATAAATAAATAAATGCTTAAAAAAAAGAAAGAAAGAAGGGGAGAATGGCTGTCAAAGGAAAATTAGCACATTGTATCTTTCTCTTTTTAGTCTTGTTCATTTTGGAGGACCATATATCCTCCATAAGTTTTAAGGAAGAGAATGGGAAGTAAACTTTTTGAAACCTTGCTTTTCTAAAACTATTTTTATTTGATTGATATTTGATTGACAGTTTACCTGGATAGAGCTTCTCGTTGGAAGTCATCTTCCTCTGGAAGTCTGAAGACACTGCTTATGGTCTTCGGCTTTCACTGTTGCTGTTAAGAAGTCTGAAGCCGTTCTCATTCTTGATGACCTGTTTGGTTTTCTTGTTTGTTTTATATTCTGGAAACTTAGAAAATCTCCCCTTTGAAATATCACAGTGATGTGCCTTGGGGAGGGTCATTTTCGTACATTTTAGTGGCTACTTGGAGGTTTGAAAGGCCCACTGGAGATTTTATTGGATTATTTTATGGATACTTTCCTCCCCTCCATTTTCCTTGTGTCCTCTTTCTGGAGCTCCTAGCAATCCGATACTGGCTTTCCTGGACTTGTCCTCTAGTTTTTGCTATATTTTCTCTCCTATTTTCTTTGTTTTATTCTGAGGGATTTACTCATTTTTCCCTCCTTGTTTTTCTATCAAGTTTTAAATTTCTGATAATGTTTTTAACTTTCAATAGCTCTTCAATATTATTTGAGTGTTTCTTTTTTTTCTAGAATTGTTTTTGCTTCATAAACGCAGTACCTTACCTTGCTGAGGTTATTGAGATTTTTAAAAACATTTTTACTGAGGTTTTTTTCCAACTGTGATTTTTTTCTTATTTCCAAGAATTTTTCCTTGTTCTCAGTTGTTTCCTTTTTAATATTTTTTTGTTCTTGTTTTATGGATGCAATCTTTTCTTTTCTCTCTCAAAGGATATTAATTATAGTTGGGGCTTTTTAAAAAAGCTGTCTTCTGATTCCAGCATTATCTCTGAGTTCCTATGTTCTGTTTCTGCTTAAATTTGAAGATCTTCCAATGTTCTGCATTGAACATTTGCAATCTGGCTGTGCGTAAATATTTAAGAATGAGGCACCAAAACCTGGTTGGAAGATTTGTGTGTGCATGAGTTGGGCTTGTCAACTTGCTGGGCTTCACCATAGAGCCTTTGTTCAAATGTCACCTTCTCAGCAAGTCCTCCCACATCACCCTATTTAAAATTTCACTTGGCATTCTCTATCCCTCTTCCTTGTTTTTTCTCTATAGCATTTATCCCCTAATATGTTGTATAATTTGCTTATTTACTTTATTTACTATCTGTCTTCACCACTAACCCCTTGAGACCAGGAATTTGTGTCTGTTTATTTACTGCTGTATCTGCAGCCTCAAGAAGACTGCTTGCACATAGTAGGTACTTCATAAATATCTGTTAGGTGTTTGAATGAATGAATGAGTGAACGAATGAATGATTAGCTGCAGACCACCCAGCTGTTAGCTCCCGGACGTTTTTCTTTTCAGCTGTTCAGTTTCCCAGGTGGGGGTTGAGGCATGCCACCAGGTTCTGGCTGCCAAGCAGGGGAAAGGGATTTGGCAGCCCCCTGGTCAGTGTGCAGACTCTCATGTAATCTTCTGTTTTCTGTCTGTTCCTTGCTGAGTAATTCTGTGTGATATGCAGGAATAGAAAGCACTGTCATCCAAAGACCACCAAGAAGTTGGCACACGGGGTTGGCAGAGGGAAGCAACAAGAATAACCAGGCGAAAACTTCATAGCCAAAGCTCTATTCCTTTGGTTTACTTTAAAAAGCAAGTGATTCAATCTCCTGCATGTATCTCATTTTAATAACTGCCTTCAGTCTGCCCCTTCCAGCCTGGCCCCTGGAGTGGGACACCTGACAGCCATTCTTCCCAATTCAAGGTTGTCCAAAGAGATGGCCCTTAAGGGGAAACAACAGCCAGGGGTGATCAGTGTGGCCCAGATC